CTGATCAAATGTTCTGTATCGATAAAACACAAAGCCATCTATTTTTTTCTTCACTCGGTAACCAGAAGAGTTCGAGAGGACGACAAAGGCTCATCAATGGCGGAAATGGAAAATCAACAGGAGTCTCCATTGTTAGTGAAGAGGAAATCACATCTCTATTGTCAAGACCAAGATAATATCGCAAACAAGGCTCAGAAGCTTTAACCCTCGAATTCCCTTGCTTTTGTATCCAAATATGGAGAAAATTGTTGAAGTTCAGATTTTTTTTTTCTTCACCCACTAAAACCGTGATTTTGTTGGAGAAAATCGATGGTTCTTTGGTGGAAAGAGAGAAAATCGCCAGTTCTATGGCGATCTTGGAACTGATGACGAGAAAGAGGATGCAAATGACGAGGAGGAGGAGGAGGAGGCAAGGAGAGAAATCGAGGTCGACAGAAAGGTAAAGGCATTATGAGAGGCGATAAGAAAAAAGGAAAATTGATTGAAGATGATGATAGTGACGAAGATGAAGAAGATGATGAAAATATTGACACCGATTTGTCGAATGATCTGCTGACAGAGGTGAGTTTAGATAATATTCTTCCATCAAGGAACGAAGAAGACGACGATGATTTCTTCTGATTTTTTTTTGTTTCGGAATTTTTTTATGGGTTTATCGAATCCGCTTGAATTTTTTGGTTAATCTTAAACCAATCTCAGGTTTTTAATTTTTGTCCACGTGTCAATTCAGTCCTGATGTGACTGCTGACGTGACAAAACAGAATCAGTTTTTATACGCCATATCTGCACTTCTAAATGCCACATCAGCACGTTTTGTCTAATTTGACAATCGACGAAGAGTATTCAGATATTTTTTGTGTCATTTAAAAAGTTTAGTGTTTTTTTACCAAAAAAAAAGTTCAGTGTTTTTTTTGGTCAAAATTGAAAAGTCCAGTGTTTTTTTTTATTATCTTTTTTTTTAAAAATGTATTTAAAATTCTAACTATCTACAAATACAAATAAACTTTAGATCTTTTCAAAATCCAAAAAACATAATTCTTAAAACATATATTTAAGCATCACAACTGGTGAAAAGGTTTCATCATAGTCTATACCATGAATCTGCCGAAACCCTTTCGCAATGAGTCATGCCTTATAGGTATGCACGATGCCATCCATGTCGGTTTTCTTCTTAAAAATCCACTTGCATCCAATGGTCTTAATACTATCGAACGAATCAACCAAAGTCCATACTTTGTTGTCGTACATGGATTGCATCTCAGACTCCATGGCCTGGTGTCATTTCTCGGAATCGGAACTCGCCACAGCCTCTGAATACGACGTAGGCTCGTCATGTTCTAACAACATGAGTTCGTCGTTTCCAGTCATAAGAAATTTGTATCTTGTAGGCTCTTGGCGAATTCTACCAGATCTCCGAGGTTCACTAGGAGGTATTGTCTCAACAACTTGTGATACAGTTTGAACTGTTTCGACCTGTTCACTCGGTTCTTCGACTATTTGTGGTTCTCGAACTTCTTCGAGATCTATTCTACTCCCACTGACTCTCTTGAAGACGAACTCTCTCTCCAAGAAAGATCCATTCCGAGCAACAAACACTTTGTTCTCAGATGGGTTGTAGAATCAGTACCCTTTAATTTTCTTAGGGTAACCCACAAATATGCATTTATCAGATTTGGCGGATAGCTTATCAGAAGCCAGACATTTCACATATATGTCACATCCCCAAATCTTCATAAACGCTAACCTGGGACGCTGCTTCCCAGTCCATATCTAATATGGTGTCTTCTGAACCGACTTTGTTGGAAAGTTGTTCAGTATAAGCGCTGCCGTTTCCAAGGCGTAACCCCAAAAGGATTTAGAAAGATCGACCTGACTCATCATAGACCGTACCATATCTAATAGGGTTCGGTTCCTCCTCTCAGATACGCCATTTCACTGTGGCGTTCCAGGTGGAGTCAGTTGTGAGACAATCCCACATTCTGCCAGATAGTCAGTGAACTCTTGGCTCATATACTCGCCACCTCGATCAGATCGAAGCAACTTGATCGTCTTGCCAAGTTGGTTCTGCACCTCGTTTCTGAAA